ACGGAGTCAGGCGGCATTTCCTGAGTAGAAAATCACCATAATTGGCTCAAGTTAGGAAAAGGCTCACTTCCCCTGCACACACTCATGTAAAAAAACACAAATAAGTGCTTGTCATCAGAGTTCTCTCCACTGCTCCATGGGTTTATTATGTACTGAAGATAAACAGGAAAAAAAAAAACAATCTGTGAAGAACATCACAGACCTAATACTTTTTTTATTTGCATATTTTGTACTTGTTCTCACTTGACAACTGTTTCTGTGGAGCGCTGTAACTCATCTGTGCCTCCTGTGGTATTAATGATGTATTTTTATTTTCTTCCTCGTGTTCAGACTCAGGTTTTACTGACATCTGCATCTTAGTTCATCCTTCAGGATCAAAACAAAATGTTTTCCTAGTAGGAGTCATTCTGTCTATGACTATTCACCGTCTCAGAGCAGTGGATTTCATATAACGAGGCTTTGGTATCTAAAAAATATTAAGACTTTAAACAACCTTTTTATCCAGCCTTTATTAGACAGCCTGTGCAAAGTAACAAACACAGCAAAACTACTTTTGGGCCATGACCCTGTGATCAAGAAACATCATTTGAAAGCCCGTACTAATTGTTCTAATTGTTTTTTTGTACATGCTATTAATCCAAAATTAGACATAAATAAAAACAGATGTGAAGCACAATCATCTACGTACCTAAAACGTTTCATTTTATTCCTAATTAGGAGTGTTGATTTGTTTCAATTAATCATGATCAAACAACTCAATATTTTGCAGCCCTAGTTTTGTCGGTGATGCCTGCGACCCCAGCAGTAAAGAGTGGCGAGTTCTCTTGTCATGACCCGTGGACCACATGTGGCCCATTGACCGGTCTAATCTGGCCTGGTCTAATCCAGGAATACGATGGACTATAAATAACGAATGGTTTGAGTTATTTCCATTGTTAAAATAAAAGTGTTTTTACAGCTGGTTTTCTCTCTGGCTCTGTCTGTCAACAGGGAATCATCCGCTTCCACGACAGTTACAGCCACACTTTTCTCAGGCGAGAACATGGTAACGATAGCCTTCAGCTGACAGTAAAGCACAAGCACACGCCGCATCTATGATTTTAATAGTCTCTTTATTGTGGAGGTGAAAATGATACATGCTCCTTTACCCAAAACAACACAGATGCACTCGTGTAGCAATAAGTTTCTGGTTTTTCCTCTTCATGATTCCCTGATCCGTACTGAGCTGAAGCCCCGCGGAGCTCCTTCCAGTGATGCCTACGACAGGAGCATTACGTCTGTATCTGTAAGCCGCGAAGTCCACATACAGGTCATTAAACTGTGCAGTGGGACAGTGGCAAAGCGGGTCGTCTCCCTCACACAAACAAGGTCCAGTTCATTAGTCAACTGGGACCAAATCCTGCAAAAACAGTGGCGAGTTATGTTATTTATACGCTTGTGGATATCAGTATGCATGCTGGGAACACTGACAATCATGTGGCACATCACAGTGTCTCATCACATCTTGTTTTTTGGAGATCTTTTGGAATCTTTTTCTTTTTCTTTTTTTTTTTTGCTTAACATACATTTCATGAGAATTTGCGTTAAGTCAAGTAGAGGAGCAGTGGAGCATGCACCACATTTCCATTGCAGGCATAATCACGGAATTTTTTTTCTTTTTTTAAGAAAAAATCCTATGTACAGCAAATGATGACAAGAAAGTTGAATAAATACAATAATATCATTTTCTTCAATTTATAAAATTGCAAATGTGTCATTATTGGCATTGCCACATTGTACAGCAAGTGAATTGTATCTTTTTGAACACACATTACCGAAACGTGTTTTTCAGAATAAAAGCTCAAATATTCTGTTGTAACACTGCAATGAACACTGACTAGATACTTATTACACTTGCAGAAAACTCCCCATCATCAAAATATAGAGTACACATACAGTAAATAGCAATTTTGCAACTCGTACTTGTGTAGTATACACAGATGGCTTCATACAATTCCGACAATCACGATGATTTTAGAGAACGATGAGAGATTTTCTTCTGGAACAAATCGTCCTTTCACAAATTTCTTCTTTTACATTCAGTGATTTGGAGTCCACACGTATGTCACATGTAAAGCCTGCAGGGCTTCAAGTAAGACACGCTCAGTCTGTCACTTACTCAAAGCAAACTGCAGCCCTTTTTCCCCCATTGTTGTTGAATTTTCCTTAGCAGGAAGAGGTATTTTGATTTTTTGAAATCACCGCTCCTCCCGCTGTTGAGCAAGACGAGCGATGCTGCAGTTTAGCAGTGCAGGATCTTAATGAATGCCTTTCGAAACTCAACATTAAAGGTGGTGTATATGATGGGATTTACAGCACTATTCACGTAGCCCAGCCAAGTAAAAGCATTATACATCTGAGCAGGAACCTTGCATTTGGTGCAGTGGGTGTTGAGGATGTGTGTAATGAAAAACGGCAGCCAGCATATGATGAATACGCCTGAGGAGATACAAGAAAAATTGAATTATTAGAAAAAGAGAAAGAGAGCAAGAAATGGAAGTGACAGAAAAGAGAGCACAATGATTATAGAGAAACATGTTCAGGGACTTGAACTCAAAAATACCAGCATGTTCTCTTTGGGTTACTGCAAAATCTGTTTTTTAACGTTGTGTTTCACCAGAGTCGGTATTAAGTGTACTCTCTAATACCTCGTATGAGCGAGTACACTTATGTAAATACATGTACTGAATTTTCCAGATGATAAGTCGTACTTTTTTTCATCCTTTGGCTGGGTTTGCGACTTATACTCAGATGCGACTTACATATTAAAATGTATAATTTTACATGTTTGTTTATTCTCACACTGACAGCAGCTGGAGGGCACTCTACTTGGCTGGTGTGACTTATACTCCGGAGCGCCTTATAGTCTGGAAAATACGGTACATGTATTGTAAATGTAACACAAATCATCACATTTGTTGTTAAACACAGGTAAGTCCAAAAGTTCTAAGAGGTTTTGTCATTTCAAAAAGGTTTCTAATCTCAGTCGTCTCAAACAACTTTATTAAGTTTATTTACTTAATAAATAAACTTGATAAAGTAGGATTTGTTACCTTTGATTCAATCAGGTTTTTCAGCCCTGAAAAACGAACCATTTTGAAGATGCAGATTTTCTCTGCAACTGAAAGAACATTTGAAAGGAATTGGATTCTTTTGACGACATATTCTTTTGTCCTACTCTGTCTGTATCTTAGGCAGGTCTTAAGGATGGCAACCTTGTTGATATGCCGTCAGTGGATAAAATAAAGCGGTTGCTATGGGTTAAGTGCTTGTTCTCAATGAAGTGAAACACGCACGTTCGACTACATGCAGATTCATTTAACAGTTTTTAAATCAACACATTTATCAGCCTTTATCTGAAAGTAAACATGGAATTGGACATTTTAGACAGAAGAATGTTGAAAAAAATGAACCTTTTCTTCTTTTTTTTTTCTTTCGACCATTTTGCATTACCCCTTTATACCAAATAGAAATAAGAAAAGCTCACCCAGAACAATGGCTAACATCTGAGTGGCCTTCTTCTCCTTCTGCTGCGAGAACTTCCTCTTGTTCATAGTTTTCACAGAGGTTTGAGTTTTGCCGTTGGGTAAGGCCTGTGTCTGGAAGGCTTTCACCACAACAGGTGCAGGATCCACCTGAGCTTCCTTGGTTGGATCTCCGTTCCTCTCTGCCTTCTGGCCCTCCTCAGGTGGTGTAGGTGGTGTAGAAGTGGGGCTGGCGTTAACCTTCTCAGGCATCAGAAGCTGATGGCTTGTGGCCGGCATTTCTCCAAGTGCTCCCTGTGACTGCTGTTTCTGTTTCTGGCTGCTTCCACTGTTATTCAGTTCGTCCAACTCCAGATCCTGGCCCTCGCTGGCAACATCTTTGATAAAGATCTGAGAAGATGGGAATGAGCAGGGAGACGCCATGGATGACTTTTATAATATAGCCAGTAGAAGAAGTGACATTTTAAAATTATGGAGACCTATAGATAACATATCAAACAGCTTGATTCAAGCCTTTCATATAAATGCCCTGTGCTAATTCATGCAGTAAGACGACCTTTCGGGCTTTATTTCCTTTGAGAAATGGGGAAGAAATACCCTTCAAGGTGACACGGCGGACAGTCATTTACAAGTGTGACAAATATATTTTCCAACAATTAAACAAAGGGAAGAACAAAGAGCACACACCACTTTCTTCTTGTTGACAGGATAACTCCCATTAGATTTTACAATCATGGTGCACAACCTCACATCCTCTGGATGAGTGCACTTATCCTGAAATGACAAGCAGCTGCGTCAGACGGGGGGAAAAAAAGACACAATGTCAAAGCACAAGTGACAAGAAGGCTGCAGGAGCACTGGTTCTGCTGAGTGTCACGTCAAATGAGGAGCCGACTCTGGGACTTAAAGGTTGTTTGGCAGGAAATTTGATCTGCTGCGTTGGAGGGTGGTGATTAAAAAAGAAAAGAAAAGAAAAACAATAAACTACAAAAAAATTCACTTATTTGAAAATTGAAGTGATGGAGAATTATCCATTGAGTGTTTTATTTATTATAATTATAACTATGTATAGTAAATGTAAATGAATGATCAAACGTTGCCTTGATCTGCCATCAGATTAATATTTAAAATTAGGATTAAAATATGGATCAAATGTCAATATTTTAAAATGTAGTAAGAGAAATTCTATTGAATTTTAGTTCAGAGAAGAGACAGCAATTAATCATTCAGGATTTTTAGAGACGGGAATTTTAACCCATTCCTATACCAGTAACCCATTAATTAATTGGGAGTTGATGATGGGATTTTGAGCTCAAAGTGCTTCAGTAAAACAAAAACTATTTTTTCTCCCCACAGTTTATGTAAATTCCAACACGTGATCTGACGCTTCCATCTCTGTATCTTTAGCACTCAAACTCACTTCTCAATGCCTCAATGAGAAACAAAAATGGACAGTGGAATTGGAACTGGATATAATAAAAATGTAACCTGTTTATCATTTATTATTTCATTAATTAATTATAAATTCTCACAGCCCTACTCTCATCCCGTTGCTGTTTTTTTGCTCTTCCCTGATGTTCACCCTCCCCCTCCTTCTCCATCACAGCCATGTGTTTGCAGCTCCTTCTCATCCATCATTTTACATCCTGCAGCGGTTTCACCATCGCCACCCCCCACTGTCCTGACTTTGGGGGGACCTACTTAGTAGGACATGTTCTGTGATGTCAGCCTCCATTGAGTCTGAGCCATACAGGACTCAATGAAGTCATCAACACCATTATTCTGATTTAAATTCATTTTTAATTAACTGCTTAATCCTAATCAAACATATGTCTCCATTGATTATGTGCAAATTCCATCAATGTGTTTGTGAATGATGACTCCATCAACAATCCATCTTTGCTTTGCACATTAATGTGTCAACTCTACTCACTGGAAATCCCTGTATATTATTATGGTTTTGTTTTTTTTCCTTCCTTGACCTCAATCCATATTACATGCAAACGGAAACCTGCGAGGAAAGCCATGCATGGACACCAGTAATGCAATGCAGTGGATCAACAACATCACTTAGCTTCCTGTGCAGAGCCCCTGTTTCACTGTCAGTAAAATCAATCGATCATAAGGTCAATCATGGGCCACGGCAGTGAGTGAAGCGAGTGCGTTTTCGACACCAAAATGTTTTGTTAAACCTTAACACAGATCACGGTGTTTAGGATTACACCACGCAGAGTGTGGATTTCTCCAAACCTTCAGTTACATATAAATATATGTCAACGATTGATATGGAAAAAGCCTCAGGCACACACGCAGCGGCATCATTTCAATCCCCTGAACGTTCTTTTCTTCTTTCTTTTTTTAAATCCACAAATCAATTCTCGTCTTGGCTGGGTTTTTTCCTTTCTTGAAAGCATGTTCTATAATGTAATGCACTGTAATAGTTGCCTTTACAGCTAGCAGGTATAAAACGGGGCGGAGAGGCAGTGAAAATGACAGCTTTGTTCAGATCTTTAAACCTTCTTTTGTATCCTTTGTGTAAAATATGCAGCAGAACATTCATGTAACAGAGTTGTCCCAGGTTTTCTACTCTGGACGTAGAAGTGTTTAAACCTAAAGGCTGTCATTGGACTGAAGCTGCTCACCTTCAGTGAAGTGGCCAGATCAGGCTCGGCAGCCTGACACATTCGCTGCTTGGGTTTTGTGTTTACACGTTTCCTGCGCTTCCTCAGGACCACATAAATTTGCACATAAACCAGCAGAGTGATGATGAAGGGGACATAGAAGGACACAATTGAGGAGTAGACCACAAAGGCTGGGTTGGCGATCACACAAAGTGACTCATCTCGGGTAGCTGTGGAGACCAGAGCAGGGTAAACACACAGGGTTAATTCTGCTCGTTTCACCAGTTTTAGGTGTATGTGTGTGTGTGTGTGTGTGTGTGTGTGTGTGTGGTACAGCTAGACTGTGGAGGGAATTATTTTTACTAACACTATTGTTGTGAGGATGCTGTGTAGTTGTAGGGACATTTGCAGGTCCTGACTGACTGACAGTAGTTTGAGGTTCAAGGTTTGGTTTGGAATTAGGATTGGAATTAGGTTCAAATTATAGTCGGGGTAAGAAGTGAGATTGGATTTGTAAATGTCAAGGTAGGGAGCCAGTGAGCCACTGCTTTCATGTGGCTGTTATAGGTTAACAAGACGTGTTGTTTCTCACCTGTGTTATTCAGGCCAAACAGCAGTGGACAAGATATGGCGAAAGACAGCACCCACACCACAGAGATCATGACTGTGACCCTCCTCCTGGAGCTGTACCGAGTGTTGTACAACATGGGCATTGCAACTGCTGTGTACCTGTAATGGGCAGAAGATGCTTTGGTATCAAAACAGATACAAAAAAAAAAAAAAAAAAGAAAAAAAAAAAAAAAAAAAAAAGAAAAAAAAAAAAAAAAAAAAAAGAAAAAAAAAAAAAAAAAAAAAAAGAAGAAGAAAGAAAACAGAAATAATTGTGTGCTGTCAGATTTATGAGCTCCAGTTTCTGTCTAAATTTGGAGCTACAGATTATCAAAGACAGTTTCTGTGTCTTGGATCCAGTTTCACTGTACATTCGTCTCTTAGACCAAGCCACTGGCTGTGAATTTTACATGAAGATGGATTCCTGTGAGGGAGGCTGTGACTTCATCCTTTACCGTCTCAGGAAAAGACCTTATCATTTAACCTTGTGCCAGTGGTTGATCTCATTAGTGAGCATGCTGTAATCACCAGGAAATGCACCACACTCTACAACATCCCATACATTGATTTTTTTTTTTTCACGTAATCTGTTTTGAAAAGCCTTAAAATTATTCCAAGTGGGTAAGACTGAGGCGACGCGTGAAACCAGAGGACGGGTTCAGCCTGAGATGAGTCGCATGTTTAATGCATTATTCCTCCACATACGGAGAACGTAGTTCTTATTCAAGCTGGAATATTTTACCCAGTGTCATTTGTATTTCGTCTTTGGTATAAAATAATGTAATAGAGAGGACCATTTTGCGATAAAAAACTATATCCGTTAATGTTACTTAATGTTTATGCTACTCAATAATAATTAGCCATTTAGCAATCTGATCATTTGGGTTTTTTCCACACACAAATGAATTACACCAACAGGTTTCAGCTCCAGTGCTGAAGAGTTTTCGCCTCTTAGGGATTGAAGCTTGACTTACAATTAACACTAATCATTGTCTGCAGAACAAAATTAACAGGAAATAATTGTTTTTGTACTTCAAAATAATAACTAATCGTGATCTTTGACTGCTGCATTTTAAAAGCGACAGATTTTAATTTAGAATAATTGGTTGAATTCCTACAGAACTCGCTCTCTCCCAATAATGAATGTCGTAATGAACATTTCAGACTTTTTAAAATAAAAGTCTGTCAAATCAAGAGGAAAAGGTCCACAGAGTAGACCGAGGACCAGTCTTTGAGCATCTATTTTCCTACTTCATGTGCAGCTGATTCTCACCTGACAAACTGTCTTTAAAAATGAGAATGGCACAATGAGTTTTACTTAAATATGCTTCATTCTAATTTAATATTGGTCTTTTCTCTGCTTTAACTTGATGACCAGTTAAGAACAACTTTCTAAAATCAGCATTTTGATTGACTCTCATCCCAAACCTTTGTGTTTTAGAACATAAAGTTTCTAAAACAGCTTATCTCACTTTAACGGCCAAGCAGTATTTTGCCTTTAGCTGAATATTTCCATGTAGATCACCATTAACCAGAAGGTGCTGTGGTGGAGGAGAATCTGCTAAATCTGCTTAAAAAAAACAACAAAAAAAGAAAAAGAAAACGCTGCCTTTTGGCAACATAATTGGAGCTGAGCTAAATGAGATTTGGCATCGAGACGTTCACTTCACCTCCTACACAAAAGCAATGTTTTTCCCTTCTGCTTCCAAAGCAGTGGGACAAAGCTGATGTGATTGTCCATTGTTGAAGGAAACCTTTAGAACTTACTGGATATTCAATCCAGCTGCGCGGCTGGGAGGAAGGTAAATGACAAATGTTCTGTGGGCTCCCATTTTGAGCATGTCACAAGTTCTCACAAAAAAAACAAAAAAAAAAACAAACAAACAAACTTATACAGGGCAGGAAGATTTTCATGGTTCTGCCTGTAGCTTGTGAATAGAAACATGGGAATAGCTGTCAGTCCAAGACTGGAGAGGGAAGGGTTGAGGAGGCAAATTAAAGTTTTGGAAAAGACCCTAACACGAGAGTCTCCTGAAATCCATTCAAGACGTAGAAATAAAAAGATTCTTGACTGTGTCAGTCTCTTATCAGCGATCAGCATTCGCCAGTAACGCGTGCAATCACAAGTCAATAACAATCTAAATGTAAATTTGGAAGCAATTCCTCTCTGGCATTTTGGAAACATTCATTTCTCAGTCACAATAATCGACCGTGAGATTGTTCAGACAAATAAACTTCCTCCCACCGATGACGGACCTTTGTACTCTAATTCACGCTCGCAAATCAGAATTAAAATTGCGTCCCAGCCAGACCGTGTGCATCTTTGCTATTTATTTATTCAGTAATTTCTCTTGTAAAATGTAGCCCTTCAAAATGAAAACGCAGTCAGGCGTCAAAACTACTGTATATACACGTGTGTGTGTGTGTGTCGTCAAATGGAAAAATGAAAAGTAGAGGAATTATGTAGTGTTTGTTTTCTATGACAACCACCCACTGCACTTCCCCATGAAACAAGCTGTCACCTCCGTGTTGAATCCTAGTCTGCCTGTCAGTTACATGATTGTGCCTCGCTATTCCTTTTTTTTCTCTCCAATATTTAAAGTCTGACCTTTTCAGGCTTTTCAGAAAAACATTTTCTGCTCAACTCCCTTCAGTGTTGCTGCTATTATTATTGTGTGGCGTAACACACATTTGTGATGTTGCTAACAAAAATAAATAAATAAAGTTAACCAAAAATTGAATAAATTCAGCAGGTGACAGGCTTTATTACAAACTTTATTTTAATTTTTACAGCAAGTCAAATGATCATAATGTTACAACAGTGAGTGTAATTAAATTTCAAACTAGAGACGGAGAGAAAAAAAAAAAAGAACTTGGCTTCCACAATGAACCCAATTATCTCCATCAGTCCAGCACATTTTGTTATCAGTAATTGTAGGCTTATAGAAATGTGTTATATTTCATCTAATTATAACTAGTGAGGTTTCTACCAGGATTTAAATGGGGGTTTGTAATTAAAAAAATATTAAAAATCAAACCAAGATAATGGAATGCCTTTCTTCCTGCTCTATTTTTCACACAGTGTCTCTGGAGAACCTGTTGTTGAGAATTCATGCACAGTTAGGCAAAAACAAGACAAAGAGCAAAGGTTAAAGACTGTAGTTGACATTTAGTTAATGCCTGGTTAATTCAAAGTTTGGTTCACGGGCTTGATGTGGCCCAGACCCAACCTCAGAGTGGCCCGGTTGGTCCTCATTTAAGAAACATGGAGGTAAACTGAGATGTCATGTGACCAGAAACTATAGCGGAACAGACTAGAATGGAACATTAACCAACACTGTGTCACTCGATTGTCTGAAAGAGTTAATAGTTTACCAGCAGAGATGAAAAATAACCAATGAGAAACAACAGTTTGACCCTGTACTGACCGTCAAAAACCACTGTTCATATTTTGTGTGTTGGAGTTCTAAAACCAATCAAGGACTTTCAATATATTACGTGTTTATGACACCAACACCATGTGATCCTGCCGACTTCCTTGGTGTCAAATCTGGGCCAAACTGAATATATAAATTGAGCATCCCTGTACTTGACAGTGGCGGCGCACGGGGCCCAGTTATTAGACATCATTGTGTTGCATTTGAAGAAAAACAACCACTCACATCTTTGAAGTCAATAAAGCTTAAAACTGCTTGAATGTGATTTTTACTACAGCGCCATCTGCAGGTCTATGTTTATGATGCCAATTGTGCCTTTACACCACCTTCACTGAAGGGGTGTTGTCTGATGTGCCTCCTGACAGACACGCGCTTCGAAGGAACCTCGTCCTCTGTTATTTAGAGGGCAATGATTTCCACTGGGAGTCCATGCAGGACATTCATGACAGGTCAGACTGAACCGTCTGTGCACTGACAAACTCACCGGTCAATGCTGATGGCACAGAGATTAAGGATGCTGGCCGTGCACATCATCACGTCCAGAGTGACGAAGATGTCACAGTGGATCTTGCTAAAGCGCCATTCTCCCACCACCTGGAAGAGAGGAGGAGTAATCATGGTTAACTGAGATCAGGATGGTGGATCAGGATGGTGGAATTTCTTTAATGTGCAGAGCAATATACAAAAACCTAATAAATCTTCACAAACTAAGCAACCCAGTTAATGCAGCCTTTGTTGAATAGATAAGTAAATAAACTGACACTGTTGTGTACGGTTGGACAAGAGAGTTGTAGGATCATTGTCGCCACTTCTAAACTAATGTCATGAAATGTTTAATAACAGAGTTGGACCTCACTGGATAGAAAACAACAGCAGTTTGTCTCTAATTGTCATTTCTCAACTACTGAAACATACAAATTGAAACGCCACGGATTGTCGCACAGCCCAGCAAAAGCAGAGTGTTAGCGAGATAATTATCTCACTAACATGTATCGCTTTGTGCAGCCTGAAGTGGCCTTCTGAGCACAGACGTGACCGAAGGCCATCTGTATTCATACTGTCCCGACCGTCTCTCTGTCTCTCTACGACCTCGTCAAACCTGATGATGAGGCGACTATCAACTGTGATGGTTGGATCTGGATATCACACTAAATTTTACACACACACACCCTCCTCCCAGTCAAGGTCTTATCTCAAGGTAATGGATGTGACTTGTTGCTGCAGCAATGATGGCAGGCTGTATTGACACCCCCCCCCAAACACCCACACACTCTTTGATTTGCTTTTTTCTAACAGTTTCCTCTTCCACTGTTGTCTTCTTCTCTGCGTCTAATTCCCTCCCTCACGACAGACTTACTTTCTTATTTGGGATCCTCACATCTAAATCTACAGGTCTGTTCTCCGCGATGACTGCTGCAACCAAGGTTGTTTTTTTTTCCTTCCCCAACCTAATCAGTCCAGCGACCCACAACAAATTAGAGCGGCTCTGATAAGGTGGAAATCTATAGCAGGCCTCAGTGATGAGTGTGTTGGCATGGAGGTAAGAGTGTGTATTGAACAAGGTGTTGTGTTAAGGACTACGAGGAAAAACACAGTGTAGAGTTTGAACAAAAAGTTCTAGGACGGATTTTATAATTTCAATATTGATGGTTGGTGAGTTTTTTTTTTTTTTCAACCACTGCTCATTTCATCCTCCCCCAAATAGTGAAAGTGCATTTAAAAGAAACTGGATTTCAGTGTTTAGTATCCAGGTTTTGACCTGGTGTCAAAAAAGTCATAAATTTGGACATGTTGTACCTACACAAGACTATTATTCTACTAGTATTCTACTAGACTAGTATTCGGTACACAGTGACCAATATACGGACCAGTACATATACATATGAAGATACACAGAACACGTGTACTGGTCTATTTACTGTATGGCAGCAGTCCCCAACCAAGGATCGGTCAGTATCAGTTGTTACTGCTGACTGGTAATACTGTACCATTATTGAAGGATCATTAGATTTTCAAAATAAAACATCTTTCTACTATACTTTACTTTCTTTATTCTGTTAGTATCAGAGTCTGAATGACCTGTTGTTCTGAAACATTGATAGATTATCTTTGAATGAAAAAAGTAAAGGGATATGACTAGATTCTGTGTCCCACTGTGACCCGGTTCAAAATGACCTACGGACCAGCACCGGTCCCCCGGACTAGAGATTTGTACCCCTGCTCTATAGTACATAGAGTACAAACCACTATGAGCCAGTACATACAGTATAGAGTAATATACTGTGAATAGACCATAATATATGGACACTGTGATGACATTGGTAAAAAATGTCAGAATGACCTTTGGGGTTTAAGAGGTTAATCTTTTTTTCCCTATAACCTCTCCAAACTCCTCACATTTTATTTAATTGGTCTGCAGTTGGTATTATTTATACATCAAATCTGTAGGAAAGTGTTGAAAGTGTTACAGTTGGGTGAAGTCCAATGTGAATGGCAAATTGGTGCAGAAATAAACCCACAGCCGCATGAAAGACCAAAAACTGGGCGCTTTTAAAACGATTGACAAACCAAGGCACAATAAGGTCATGCACGACGAACCCTCGGCAGAGGAGGGCGTGATTGTTTGTCTCCATATTTTTGGATTTACGGCTGTTTTACTGCTGTTCATGTTTTATCGAGCTTAGACATTCACAATCTGCGGCACTAGGGTGCGATCTTGTCACCTGATCTCACACTAAAAGGTCTGCAGAGCCAGTGGTTGTGGTCGAGAGGCCACACTAAAACAAAGGTGGGACATAAAGGCTGTACAGCCACCAAAGAACACATAATTCTGGCCGCGGTAAATGTCAAAGCGTGGCCATACAGAGCGGAGCTCATCTTTAGCCTCCGACTGCAGAGCAAATGAAAACCCTTTACAACCACGTTTGTCGACATCATTTCGTACGACTCACAATAAATCATCGACACTGGAAGTTTTGCAAGGGTTCGAGACCCTCTTATTTATTAACAGCCATGATTGACTCCAACACTGCCCGATGAAAATGAAAATTTAATGACAACTATAGAGTAGGCTCAATGCCTGTACCCAGAGGAAATTATAACTGAGCTGATTATTACAGCAAGAGGAATGTAATCTGGACTCTGTCCCTCAGAAATATTTCTTTGTACTATTTTTTGGGTTATGCACCACGTACATTGAATTCTTTTTCCACCAGTCAACCTTGAGGGGAAGCACATAAGTCGGGTAATTAATGCTAATTTAGCATTTAATAATAAAGGGCAAGTGAAATGTCCTGTGGACACGCTGTGACAAAGTTCTCTCTAATGTTTGTGCTGATATTTAAACTTGAATGACAAATCCACCAAATGATACAAAAAACACACACACACACACACACAAAAACAAATCCAAGCAAAACAATCAGTGTTTCTGTTCTCCGTTATTTGAGGATGTGCACCGTTTCAAATTGCGTCAATGAGCGAAGAAGCATGTTTCAAAGAACCCGAAATGAATGAATAAAAAGCCCCGAGTCACGGCTCAAACCTAATTAACCGCGGTTGAAAATGTTTACATCATATTATATTGATATTTCAATGCCACGGCTCTACAAAAAACATGGTTTTATTAAGCTGGTTTTATTAAGCAGGCTGAGAATGATGTGGATGATCCACGGGCAGTCGACATCTCTCTCCCACCACGAGATTCATCGTTTTCATTTATGTCATCCTCTCCAGAGGGAACATGAATGAATCAGAATGTAGTTTTCAGCACGTTTGTCTGGACAATGTTCTTTGGCTCAATTAAAGTAGCTGCAAAGACAAGAGTGTGTGGGTGTGTGTGTGTGTGAGGAACAGACGGAGCTTTCACTCTGAAGCCATTTTCTTCCTTGTGGTTTTAAACCCTCTCTGGTTTCTGGTGCGATTTTTTACAGAGTCTTAGCCAAGTGAGCAAAAATAGAAACAGTCTCACATTATGGGTCCAAATGTCATCGATCCCTCAGCAGCAGCCAATAGAAGGATCACATTTCCCTTCAATGGACATCAGGGTTTTTAAGCATGCAACACGAATACCAACATGCCCAGGGAGTGTAAAATGTTACTGATTAAAAGTCTAAGAACAAAAATGTAGAGACCTCAGTTGGTGTTTTGATTGACAGGTGCTAATTGAGTGTTTTTGTTGATTACTGCTGATCCGTTGCACCTGCTGTCTGTGTTTTTACCCGTCATACTGGCTGATGTGTAATAAACCAAAATAAACAAGACAATGGTTTTATTTGGTAGAATAAACATTGTCTAATGTGTGTCGTTCACTCATTATGACCAAGCAGTTAAACCATAGCAACAGGTTCCTGTTTCCTCTGCCGTTAGAACTGGCTTCTTATTGAAAAATAAATCAATAATAGCAAAAGATGTTTGGATGACCTTTGACACCAAGTTACGACTGGCATTTTAGTCTTCTTTAGTCTGTAATTCAGTTGTCTGGATTTTTTTGGAGCTGGATCAAAACCTGCTGCAGAGCCTCAGCAGTTTGGTTTGGAATGTGATGAAATTGATTTTAAAATATTTAGTTTCAAAGGCTGAAAAAACTATTTAAAAAGCCTGTCAAAGATGCTTGGAGACGACTGAAATTCAAATCAGAATTCTCCTAAAACATTCAGATCTGTCTCACAGTTCAAAACATTCCAAACATTTCGACTTCCTCTCGTATTTGGCCATACAGTTTTACTGGAACGGTCAGGGTCAAATGTCAAACCAGTAAAACCAGATTACTGGTGATGTTTTACTGCTGCAGTTCCTTGACTGTTTTTACAACAGCAATTCAATTAGAGATGGAGTGATCCCAGGTGCACAGGAGACATTTACGTTTGAGGTGAAATGAAACCAACAGATTAACTTCTGTGTCAGGACAGACCAAATTAACACCGAACCCACTTTATGGCTGCACTTTAATGCTGTGGACTATAAACATCTACAGTCACTGCACAGGTTTCTTAGATGTTCGGAGTGAAGATGCCTCTGTGTCTGTGGACACTTGATCAGAACATCCAAAGTACATGTAGCACAGCCTTCTGTGTGTCAGCTAGTGTAGCAGCGACACTCCTCCAGATGGTTGACGGTTACTGTTTGAACAATGAGTTTAAACAGATTAATGAAAACTGCATTTTTCTTTTGCGTGCCGTGGACATGAAACAATGTCAGATTTATCTCAGAATTAGAAACCTTCACAGGTTAGTACATTTACTATTAGTACATTTAAGACCTTATAAACAATTTAGTGACAGGTATATGTGGGTGTTTGGCTAAATTCTAGGTCGACTTATGTCAAGAAGGTTGCTAGTTTAATGCCCAGTTGTTCGATGTGGAGTTTGCATGATCTCCATGTGTGCAGCTTAGGTTTTTCTGCAGGTGGTCTGACGACCACCAACAGCCCAAACACATGCAGACTGTGGATCAGGTCAAAGTTCAATCGTAAATGACCATTGGAGTGACTGTGTGTGTGGTTGTTATTCCCAGTCTGGTGACAAATAAACAGACAGATATCTGATATCCTATGGATTTAGAAAGTGTAATCGGATCACACTGCTGACTGTCGTGACTCATGCTGAGACACTGGAGGTCCACAGTCCCTTTAGTCTGAAATTGCGTTTCCCTTCAGACAGTATGACCTCAGGTGATGGCCGCACATTAAGCCAGAAGAAGAGACGTAAAAAAAAAAAAAAAAATACTCCAGACATTAATCAGGAAGATCATTTTCTGAACCATAAACCACATCTGTCTCTATTGATATTGATGAGACGTCATTTAATGCTTGACTTGAGTCTTTGGGAGGTTCTTAAAGGTGAGGACAGATAACAGGCGGCACTTCACTTTCACACAGTGTGAATACACAATGAAGTGTCTCTGATTTACAAAGAACTCTCAGTGAACACACTTGTCCTGACAAGGTGACGTGCTGCTGTTGTTACAGGCTGTAACGGCCTCCATCGGTGTTCCAGCCTCAGCTTCTGACTGACCAGTAACTGGGCCACATTCCTCAGGTATAAACCAGAACATATCAACAGCAGAATTTTCCCAGCAGTCAACTAGAACTGACGACGCCTCTTGGATGACAGGTGAAGTGTCTTCTAGAAACCCAGCCTGTCTCCAGATGTCTGGTTCCAAACTGCACTATTTAAATTGGTTTCTATTCAGTTCCCAATCATTTCCACCTCACACTGCCACCGTTGAATTTCCTTCTCTTAATGTTCTGTAAAATCAAATGTGATTTTACAGAATTGACTTCCTCTTTATACGGGACAATCTATAACCTCAATTAAAAGCCTACATTATAGTACAACACTACAAGTGCTGTGACAGGTGTGGTAAAGCTGTCAGACTAACATGCTTTCACAAACTTCCCATCAGACACAGCTCACTGATGGTTGGACAGACATACATTTGGAAACAAAACACAATGAGTTCCCTTCAAAATAAAAGCCCTGCAGGTGTATACCATGCACCAATCACAGTGTAATAGGTATTGGAGGTACACATTACTTTTATTTTTAATATAACAACAAACTCATGCAGATCAGGTTTGTTCTCATATTTATTCTGTCGAAGAGATTAGCAGAATTTTGCTAAAAAAAAAAGAAAAAAAAAACAGGGTTCTTGGAGTTTTCTCCTGACATGCTCTTAAATATTCTTTTTTAAGTGCGTATCAATTTAAATAGTGTTTCATCACTGCCAAAGGAGTGTAACTGTATATTGAGAAATGATTCATAACGTTAGTTATACGAGGAGAACGCGGGTTTTACAAGGCTTACAAAATATGATGCTTAAACAAATAAAAGGTTAGAGAATATTTTACAGAGAATAGTATTGTAGGAAAATTTGTTAAAATACTAAACAAATGTATAAAATCAAATACTAAGATCATTTTATACAGTGATGCGACGGTTGATGGTCAGGTGACCAGTAATTCATCACATCACTGTTTAAATATGTTCATATTTTAGTTGCCGTTTCTTAAATTGTTGTCGAGTTCAATGTGGGTCTTTTGCATTTCTGTTTGGTCCATTTGTCTTTGTACCCTCTCTCTATGATGACGTGTATGGATTGTGTGTTCATTCCACTCTTTTTCAGTAAGTAACAACTTGTGTAGGTTCAGTAGTTTTCTTATTGTCCTCCCACCCTCCTCTCTAAAACTAAACTCCTGCAGATTCTGAATGCAGTTGTCCTACCTCCAGGTAAACAACCCAGGGCATAACCAGTGTGGCCACCAGGAGGTCAGCGACAGCCAGGCTGACAATCAGGTAGTTGGTGGTGGTCTGCAGAGCCTTCTCTCTGGAAACGGCCATGCACACCAGCACGTTGCCGAAGACGATGACAAAGATGAGCAACGTGAGCAGCATGGCATAGTAGTTGTACTGATGCTTCTGCTCCTGTTGGGTGTCGTTGAAGCTCCACGTGCCATTGTCAGAGAAACTATCGTTGTAGGCATACTGGGTAAAGACATCCATTAGCTGTGAATGATGAAGGCCAGGAGTGTGTCCTGTGGATCAACCAGACAGAAGAAAGGGCAGAGTTCAAGTCTTAGTGAATACATTTGACAGAATCTGGATTTGTGCAGTCCTTAGACTCTGAAGGCTTTTCAAGAGTCCATCAATTTAAAGAAAACATTTAAACCAATCCTGGAAATCGAGGGTGCACAATTAATTAAGTTTGGCCACAAGCAAAACACAAAAGGTAATTTAAGAAAAGGAATGAGAATACATTTTGAATTCTTTTGGGGCAAATATCTAATGTGTAGAAGGTGCAACAGGATTGGCTGCCTGGAAATAAACAAACTTTAAATGAGCCATTTATTCAAGTTTTCCTTTTAAGAAACCATGTAGAACGTTACTATACATTCTCATTGGCATAGCAAGTTGACCATTTTGTTAATGTATGGCATAAATTAGCACAAGAGGAAGTATTTGATCCACAAAAGCCCATAGGAAAGTGAATTAAAGTGTATGCTGGGAAATTATCATTTAAAACCAAGAGAGAACCGGCAGCCTATTATAGATTTACTTTGGTTTACAAATGGCATATCACAATTCATCTGCCTACAGCAGTACAGAGGCTCTGTGTCCTAATTAGCCGTCAAAAACACTCTACATGTTTATTTCAGCACCAGGCGCTGTCCACGATGATTCCCACTGAAAGCTGGTCAATTTCAGGAGCACAAATCAACAGTTTTAAATCTTGAATCCAGCTCATTACTTACATTTTGCCCTCTGTAGGTAATTTTTTACAGCCTATAACTGAGTGCACATTCTGCATATCAGATTGCCTTTAATGGGCACTGCTGCATTTATTTAGGAATGAGACTTATCAGGGTTTGGATTAAAAAACCATTCCAAAGGTGAAAGACAAAATGTTCCTGTGATCAACAGAGAAAAACATTTTATTCATTTACTTTACTTTGTATGTAATCAATTTATTCTTCTTTTGCAAGTACATCTATGAAAGAAGCAGGGATAAGACCAAACAATTAAAACAGATGTGAAAATTCACCAAACACCAATGGACTAAATGAATACACTTTTAAATAATTATTATTTCAAGTGTTTTATGCTGCTTTTTTTCTTGCAAAGAAATATGATTCATCCCAAACACTGATGAATGAAAGTGTTGTATAAAGGAGCACGTAACGCTAGTTTGGCATCGTGACCTCATCACTTGCCCACACAGAATAAGATCTATTTAACCAAAGGCGTAATATTTATTTATTTATATTTGAAAGTGGTTTTAAAGTGCTTTAGTACAACAAGGTGCTGCAACACATCACTTCTTAACACTGTAGCTTTTACTAAGTCATCTTTAGAAGTGATTTGTTCATACAATCACAGCACAATCCACTGATGTGCACAAGTGATGTCCTGAACTTTGAAACAAAAACAAAAAAAAAAATTCCCTTCTAGACAAATGTAATTTGTAAAGGCTACACTGAATCAACAAAATTATGAAAAAAAAAAAAAAAAAGCCGATAGTCACTAAGTGAAAGGGTGATAAACCAAGTAAGAAGAAAACTTGAACATAAGTGACAGGAAAGTAAGAAAAAAAAAAAAAAAAAAAGTTACCGGTAAGCAACACTAGAACTGTTCAACATGAAATGAACCATTTTCTACGACCAGAGATAACGCGGCATTGGCGACAGGATTAATCCTCTCGCGTTACAGCAAGGTAACCGATTCCTTGATTCAAGAGTTGTGTTTTTTGTGCTAGAGTTTTTTTTTCCAATTAATCCAGCTCCAATGTTGAATTTCAAATGACACTATAAGTGAATATAGATCTGAGTGTTAATGGTTTTTCTTCCATATCTGACTCCCCATGATCCTGATAGTGATTATAAGTAGAAGATCAAAACCCTGTCATTTGATCAGACTAAAAAAGAAATTGAAATACTTTGGTTGTAGTTGTTACACATTTAAAGAAATAAGGGAGAACAAAATACCACCGACCCTGCAAGGAACCATCTTAGCTCTCCATCATCTTTCACTTCTAACATGACCATGATCTAAAGTATAATTTGGAAAAGGTCAAGTCCTTATTTCAAGTCAAGTCCATAAAACTCTGTTCAGTGAAGACTGGGGTTCATGGCAGAAGAGTGTCAAATCTGAAGGACTAATAATTCATCAAATGCAAATATTATCTAACACGTAGTCTCAAGATCCTTCAGAGAAGAGGCTTAGAGTGCACAGATCTATAAATGTTTATCAACAATTGTTTACTTATACGTTTTCAAAAATAGACAAGACAAAAATACTCATGTCAAATTTGATGTATCGTGACATCAAAAAGAAGGGAACACAAAAAAGGAAAAAGAAAATGGTCCTGAAGATAAACAGACAGCCTGACATTCAGTAATTCTTATTTACTGTATCCAAGAGAATAGACCACTTCAGTGCTGAGCCCATGTTCCATCAGTCAGCCTGTATAATCAGATGTATTTCTCATGCAGGCTGTGATAGTGCAGGAGAGCGACGTGACTGAGGTGTGAACTTCTAAATGACTTCCATTTGATTCTGCTGCAGCTCAAACTCAATTTAAAGCGTCATATTGGAAACAGTAGGAGGAAAGATCTGATTTCTGTCTCAATATTTAAATTTTCTTCACCTTTTCTTCATTTAATTACCACAAAACCTTCCTTCGCTGATGTGGATCTCATCCATGTTCATTCAACAGAGAGGGTTTGTGTGCAGTAACATGAATTATTATAAATGACCAAAACATTTGAACACATAGGCCAATCAAATCTGTAGAGATCTGCATATTTACGATTCTTCTAGTTCATAATGTCATATTTGCCACTGGAGCATTCCCTCGACATGTAAAAAGAACTAATTTGGAAACGTTATTTTACAGTACATTTACAAATTAATTTGTGTTTGGTTCTAAAGTGAAGAAAGTCTCAGAAAGGTCAATATGACAACACATTATGTCCTTTGTGTGCAATCAATGTCTTCATTTTTATTGGAAATTACAGTCAGAAAACAAGCAGAGATGAAATTTGAAAAACAGAACACAGAAAAGTGAAGCGTGACAATACATCAATGGCCTGAATAACAAGACCGGAGAACTATATTACAGCTGGAGAGAAGAAAGCAGTTTGTGTTTTGTTTGTTTAGTTTTGAGGACATTTTAAAAATTCCTTAAAATGTTTTGCCACAGAGAATGGAGGAGCTGTAGATAATGCGAAGATACTTAGTCCTAAAACAAGTCCTAAAATATGTCAGTGACTATGCCTGAAAGTTAGAATGGTGTCAAATTAGACATTAGAGAAAGTAAATAGTTACATATAAAATTAGTTAAATATATAGGGATGTCCAATAGTTTCAGCCGATATTAGCCTAATTATGTAATATTATACAGAAATAAAGTGTTTAGACAATTTCAGCAATTTTAATATCAGACATCCCTAAGTAAAAGGAAACATTTTAAGGGACTCAGACTGTGTGTTGCTCCTATTTCAAGTCGTCTTTTTTTTCTTGGCTTAGTGGCAGTTTAATCCACCAGGACAGACTGCATTGAGATCCTCATGCAGCCACTTATGTTTTCTGAATGGGACAACCTCCCCCCACTGTGCTTCTTCACCATTTGATTTAGTTTGTCCATGACAACGCTGCACCTGCCTGTTAGTGCCGGTGGCTTCAGTGCAAGAGGTGCTTGTGCAGTGGTGGTTTAGAGGTTAAGGAAGTAGACTCGGGTCTGGAAAGCTTCAGGTTCGAATCCACCAGCTGCCAAGTTACCACTGAAGTGCTCTGAGCATGGCACCTTCCTCACACACCGCTCACTTTGGTGATGGGTTAAAAGCAGAGGTCACATTTGGTTGTGTGCAGTGGTGTGCTGTGTCACAATGACAAATAGTTCACCTTCCTTGCTTTACTTTCACTTGAGATTCAACTATGGGGCATGTTCCTGGTTTTGACCATCCATCAGCAAATGAGGCAGCATCAGAACAAATTATCTTTAATGCACCAATAGTACATTAGGTGCATTTTTCTGCTGTGAGTTCGATATCCACAATCAGTCCATTAAGCATTCACTTAATGCAAGAAGGTAATATTTTTAGCATGACAAAATCAGTCATCATGGGGCATAAATATAATTTCTCTCACAGCTTTCATGAGGTAGCGCTGGATGAATCTACTAGATGGAGTAGCTAGACCTTGTTAAGGTAGAGGCAACATCAAGCATCACCACGGATGCAAATACGCCTTTATTTTCTTACGTAATATGTACAGGTCAAAAGACAATATGTAGTATTTTATCAGAAAAAAAAATGGTTTAAAGATGTGAGGTGACTTTTGAAAGGGCAATAAACAACAACGGCTGTATGAACAAAACAAGGCTAAATGTCTGTTAAGTTTTCATAAACTAGCGGTAATCTACTCCTGAGTGGACGGATCTCTCGGCACAGCACTGAATTACCATATGACCGCAGACAGGAGTGTTTGGATATCATTTTATCACGCCTTTGACAGTTTTATTACGGCTCATCGACTCAGCTCTCTAAGACATTGGAGGGTGCTAACCTAAAACTCATACCGCTCCAATTCTGCTCGCTCCAAAACCTAGCAAACAAATTGAGATTTGATCAGGGATCCACCACTCACCACTCACCACTCACTTATTTGTGGCCCCTAAACTATGTTGTTTCAATATGTATTTTGCTTTTGTCAGCACAGATGCTGCTGCAGTGTGCTGTTCATTCCAACAATGTACCAAACTCTCAGCACCAGAGGCTGCCGCACTATTGGCTATAGCGTTGGTGCCGCCGTTTGTTTTCATTTCCTGAAACTTTGACAGTGAAAGGAGCCTATTAACTGTAAGTCTCACCCCATGTCAAAATGCCCCACAGTATGATGAAGACCTGATGATGTCATCTTCAGGTCAGAATATTGTTCTTGGATTTTACTTTAGCCTGTATCGTCACTTCCAAGCCGATCACTAAGATCCATAATCCTGGAAAACCAGATCGATTACCAACACTCCCCAACTGTTACA